ATCAACTTATACCATTATGTGTACTTATATATAAGTACACATAATAGCCAAAATACTGTGGTTCTGATATTTCCCATAATCATTTATTTCAGGCTTGATTTCCTCATTTTTGTTGTTGGCGAGAGTTTTCATTTTGATGCATCCCATATTTTAAGCGATACATTTTAAGTTCGAGGACCTATAACCAACAACTTCAACAAAGAAGTCAACCTTCTATTATTTTATTTTAATTAGGGCTGAAACAATTAATCCGATTAATTGTGATCAATCGAATATTGAAATAATCATCAACTAATTTAGTAATCAGTTAATCATTAACTGGAGTATAGAGACATGAAAATACGCCTTTAACTGACAGAGCAACCCAATTAGAGCAGTAACTCTATAAAATTATTTTAAAAATATACAAGCGTTTTGCATTTAAGATAAAAAAAAAAATCTTTTTAGTCCGTCAATATGCTCTATCCAGAACTCTTCAAGTGAAAAACTTTTAGTTTCACCTGTTTTAATTTCATAAAAAATCTTTTTTAAGGAACTTTTGGCTTTACGATTATTAATCGATGAATCAAAAAATAAACGACAGATTTATGGATTTGCAAAACAATCAATAATTGCAGCCCTGATTTTAATATGTTAGGGCATATTATGTCTGAAGGCAATTGGCTTCTATGGATTTTATTTAGGCATAAATAAAATGGTGAATATGCTAAAAAAAAAAAAAAAAACACACACACACAAATAAACTGTAACTCACCCCAAAATCCATGTTCTGTTTTGCAGAGAAGTAGTACAATCTAAGCCTATGGCATGCTTTGAAAAATAAAATCTTAGAACTGTAAATTCACAGTCATTTTACTGTTTCTATATAAATACTATATTTATATGTATTTTTTTTATTTTTGCTATTTTTCAAGGCTGCACTTTAAAAAAAGATGAAATTGTCCAGAGAGCTGTTCCAAACACTTGTGTAAACAAAATAACAAATAAATCTGTCTATATCTACACTGGAAAAATCGAAATCTAGATAAGTTGTTTTTTTCTTAAAATAAGTGCATTTGTTTTTGGATTGAGGAGGTAAAGGATACATTTTGCCAATGGAACAAGACAACTTACATTTAAAATAAAAAAACAAAACTGCATTGTCTTATTTCAAGTGCATTTTATCTTATTTTCTTATTTAAAGAGTAAAAATACTCATTCCATTGGCAAACCATCTCATTTACCTACTCAAATTAAGGGTAAATACACTTCATTTAAAATTTTTTTACTTATTTCTAGATAATTTTTCTAGTGTATATCTATATCTTTTCTAATATCATTAAGAGCATGTTTATTTCTGTAATATTCATTTCAAAACTGCTGTAGTGCTGTAAAAAGTGGTTCTATTGCAGCTGGATTTCACTTTTAGTCCAAATCATACATACTTTTGTCACTTTTACAGTCTTTCATTATAAAGTCACACATTTAGGTATACTGTAATAAGTCATCCTGTCCACTAATACAGTGGCCGGAAAATGCAAAACAATATTACATCAACCTGAGATGCTTTTCCAAGTTTAACAAAACGTTTGTCAAACACGTAAAAGTGTCTCAGATAAACGTAATATTGTTTTGCATTATCTGACCACCGTACCACGGGCATTGCTTAGTCTGCTCCTTGAAGCAAGTAGCTCTAACTGATTATTATGATGATCTGGAATGATATGGTTTTATTTTTTGTTTGAGTGTGTTCCGGAGCAGTTTTATTTTGTGGACAAAGTTTGCTGCTGTTTTTACTATTTGCATAATTTTCTCACTGAGGTTGCAGCATTTTGTTTTTAGTTGCAGAACATTTTTGTTTCCATTCAGTTTGTTGATTGTAAGCTTTTGCTTCTATTTTTCAGCGATTGCAGTATTTTTGTTTGAATAATTTTCTGTTACATTTGTTTTTAGTGCATGTGTGTTTTGGCGTTGCATTGTGGTTGTGTTTGCAGCTCATTTTGCCATTTGCACCTTTCGCCAAAATAGGTGAATTAGACTTTAAGAATAATTGTGTGCAAGACAATGTTTATGTTTGTATGAATTATTGTGTCCCGATTGGACAGAAATGTCTATTTGGCATCTGTAAATAACTTGATAAGAATGTTTCATCTCAAATCTGAGCTTTAGTCTTGATCCCCATGTGCAGTTTCATTAAGTCCAGATGACTGAGAATGAGAAAATTAGAAAACAGTTAGATAAACTTGTCAGGTGAAATAAAGTATGAAAGAAGGAGAAGAAGAAACAAAATAAACAGGAGAAAACAGAAAGACACTGATGAAGAGTGAAGACAGATGAGAATATGTGAGAAAAGCAGCGACAGATGGAAGCAAAAACAAATAAAAGTCCTCGCTGGCGCTGCCCTCACAAAATTGATCCTGACTGTCAGCCAGTCAGCCCAGATAGATTTCTAAGCCTTGATGTTAATTTACATGCCAAACAGCTCCGCTACCTCCTCTGTCCCACCAAATCACCCTGCCTACTCTCAACCTGCTTTGAGTGATAAGCACATGGAAAACTTGCTGGCAAATTTAGCCCAAACAATTCCAGTGTGAAGAGTTTTTCCAGGCTGTGAAAGAATGCCTTCTTTATGAGAGCCAATATTGTTTTAGCAGTTGATAAATAGCAGGCAGGCTACCATAAGTTGCCATTTTCCCACAAGGGCATCCCATGCCTGAACTGGATGAATACAAGTGAAGGGGAAAAGTATTCAGTCACCAGGCAAGGGGGAAATATCACAAGGAGGTCATTTTGATTTGACACATTTACCATTACAGGGTTCTACACCTAAGCCCTAAAGGATTAGATGCCTCTTCATAAATATACACCTCAGTCCAAAGCACATAAAGCATTAAAGTGATAATAATAATAATTAATAAATAAATAAATACATAAAATAAATAAATTCAACTTTATTGATTTCACAATGGAGAATTTATCTCTCCGCATTTAACCCAACCCCATTTGAGGAGGAGTGGGCTGCCGCTGTGCAGCGCCCAGGGAGCAATCGGGAGATAAGGGTCTTGCTCAGAGAGCCAGAGTGGCAGTCTGTGGGAGTGGGTTCCAAACTCAAAACCTCAGAACTCCACGCTCTATGCCCTAACCACTAGGCCGCCACTCCCACATGACCAATGACTAATATCTGCTGATTAATTAATCAAAGCAACATATTTTTAAAGCAATATAATCTTTTGGGAGATTAAGAACAAAAATGTTCACTCAAAATCCAGAAAAAGCAAAAGTTTATTTTTACATGTTTCCCATACTTTTCTGGTTTAGCCTCCTCCAGACTTAGAAAACTTAATTGTAATTTTGTATACACAAAGTTTATACAAAAAGAAATTTCGTTTATACAGCTTTCAGACGGTGAATGAGCAGCAGCTTAGGCCCCCCTCCTCTAGTCTTACCACTGAGTTCGCTGATTCGGTCGGCGCGGTATAATGTAAGCCCCTCCAGTCTAACGGCATTGCATTGCGTTTATTATGGCGTCATACAGACAATGGTGCCGTACAGTTGAATGGTGAAACACATTCAACTGTAATGGTCAGAGAAAGACAACAAAAAATTTGCCAGAAAAAAATGATGATTTTATGCCATAAAATCAGTCTTCATAGCCTGTATCAAGTGTGCTGGATGAGTGCAAATTATTATCAATATCATATCAGTATGAACAATGACCTCCAAACACAGACATAAATACAGTGATAAAAATATATATGTGATGGTGAAAGAGATACAGAACGATAAAATGAAACAAAAAGGACTTATGGATCATTTTCTAGATCTTTTGATTTCATTTGGATCCCATTCATATGTGGCACTAAAATGCCTCCAGACTGACTGATCGTACTTGCACAGATTTATTTAAAAATGTTTCAGGGCCGTTTTACCATATCAGCACTGCTTTTAGCTAAGCTCCATTGGCTGCATTGCTGTCTGCAGTACAGTATTGATGAGATGTTTTTAGTTAAAATATTTAGGAAGCCTCTGGTTGGACAAACAACTTTCTCTGTAAAATGTGAGGTTTTATTGATCAGTGCAAATCAGCATGCAGTGTGAGTAAGGGATATTTCCTCTGGGAGGTAGTTTCCTTTTATTTTAGGGACTAAATACATGAAACAAACCATGGAGAAATAAACTTAATTCAGACAATACAGACAGATCTTTTGAATTTTTAACCATAATGAATTGATATTTATCCTTATGACTGCAAATCAAAAAAGTTACTATTAAAAGAAATGATAATTAAAAAAATTTTGAGTAACAATAACCAACTCCTACCAGCTGCATCCCACAGTGGGAAATGATCCATGCAAAACTTATAATTTATGTGGAGCAACTGACAACAAACACTGCTGCAGAGCTGTGTGGTGTCTTTTGCTTTATAGGAGGGACTCCTCAGTCAAAACTCTGTTTATTGCTGAAAAGAGATAGTTGTAGCAACTGAATGTATTTGTGTTGCTACTTGACAACATGTGCATTTATGTGTAAAGCGAGTAAGTGTTATGATAGTTTGGAAAATAATTATCCCAGGTGTTATTGTCTGTTGTTTGGGTTATCTGCTTAGAATCTGGATTACCAAGGTCTTGATACTGGGTGTGAACACAATACATAAGGTTAAACACAGGTGTCCAGCCTGTGGCTTGGAGACCTTTTGTGCCCCCTGGATTTATCTTGGATTTATGTTTTTTCAGTCGTAAGTCCATAAATTGTAATGACTTGTAAAGCCATTTTATTTTATATTTACAAATCTAAAGTGACAAAATTATTTTGTCAAACAAAATTATTTTAAATTAAATATTAGTAATTAATTGATACGACTGCAAAAAAGCAATCGCAGTACATTTGACATAAATATTTTGGCAAAAACCACCATTGCTTAATTTATAAAACTCTGTGTGTCAATACTTTATGGTAAAGGTGGAAATGTTTGTGTCAACAATCTGTGTTGAAAGAGGAGATTAAAGTCCTCTTGTACTTGCCTATGTTGCCCGTGTGTATGTGGAGCCGGCCTCTAACGATGGTGCAAACTGTCATTGGAGTAGAAGCCGAGCGTTGATCCAGATCTGCGTTAGTCAGCAAAGTGTCCTCACCCACATAATCGGTGGTTAAAACCTCCAGCTCATGGAGAGCCTGGACTGCAGACTTTCCCTGACGCAGCAGGTACTGCAGAGGAACAATGGGAGAAAACAGGAATCAAAATAGCCTAACAAAGGAAGGAAAGAAAGAAGGAACCAAGGAACCAACCAACCAAGGAACCAACCAACCAGGAACGAACAAACGAAGGAACCAAGGAAGGAAGGAACAAAGGAACAAACCAACAAAGGAACAAACAAAGGAAAGAAGGAAGGAACAAATGAAGGAAGGAACGAACAAATGATTAAGCAAAGGAATGAACAAAGGAACCAAGGAAGGAAGTAACAAAGGAATGAAGGAAGGAGGGAACAAAGGAAGGAAGGAAGGAACAAAGGAAGAAACAAAGGAATGAAGGAAGGAGGGAACAAAGGGAAAAAAAACGAAGGAAGTAAATAATGAATGAACAAGCGAAGGAATGAAAAAAGGAACCAAGGAAGGAAGGAACAAAGAAATGAAGGAAGGAGGGAACAAAGGAACAAACGAAGGAAGGAAGGAAGGAAGGAAGGAAGGAAGGAAGGAAGGAAGGAAGGAAGGAAGGAAGGAAGGAAG